AAGAACAAGTCATTTTATTTATTTCTCTTTGTTGTACATTCATTCCTCAGCCAAGTTTTTTAAAATCCTGTATGGAAAACATTGTCTGCTGGATTTCTTTTAAGTGAGGAAGTATGTTTGTTCTGTTATACTATCTACTTAGAACTTCTTAAATATAGTGAAAATACTTTTGGAAGAAGTGAATAAATTACACTATATTAAATGGTTGTCATGAAACAAAACATTGAATAGTTTAATGGCTTTAAGGAAAATTGCTGTTCTCTTGTTTATTCCACATGTATACATCACTTATTTTTTTAGCAGCTTCATTGAAATATAACTCATACCATATGATTCACTCATTTAAAGTATAATATTTAATGATTTTTATTATGTTCACAGAGTTGTGCAGTCATCACCACAATCAATGTTAGGACACTATGACCCCCCAAAAGAAGTTCCTTACACATTAGCAGTCACTCATTTTCCCCTCCTTCAGCCCTAGGCAACCACAAATCTACTTTCTGCCTCTATAGATTTGTCTGTTCCATATAAATGGAATCATACATTTTGTAGCCCATTATTTCTGGCTTGTTTCACTTAGCATAATTTTTTCAAGGTTCATCCATCTTCTAGCATGTGTCACAACTTTATTCCTTTTTATGGCTACATTTTCTTTATTCATCAGTTAATGGACATTTGGTTTGTTTCTATTTTTTGGCTATTATGAATAGTACTGTATGAACATTTGTGAGCAAGTTTTTGTGCTAACATAAGTTTTTAGTTTTCCTGGGTACAAACCAATTAATAGCTATCCTAGACTTAATATTGCTAAAAACAAATCTTGTGCTGTTCTTCCTGTACTCTTCTCCATTAAATAAGTGGCATTTTTCCAGTTGCACACATTAATGTGCAGGTTTTTTTCTATGGATGCACATTTTTAACTCATCTGGGTAAACACCAAAGAATGTGATTACTAGATCATATGTTAAGAGTATGTTTCATTGTGTAAGAAACTGCCAAATTGTCTTCTAAAGTGGCTGTACCATTTGCATTCCAGCATGCAGTGAATAAGAGTTCCCATTAGTCTGCATTCTTTTCAGCACTTGGTGCTGTCAGTGTGGTGGTATGTAATTGTTTTAATTTATAATTCCCTTATAAAATCTTTTCATATGCTTATTTACTATTTCTGTATCATCTTTGCTAAGGTATCTGTTCAGATCTTTTGCCCATTTTTTTTTAGTTTTGCTAACTCCAGAGGTTTTTTTATAAAATTGTGGTAACAAACATATAACATAAAATTTACCACTTTAACCATTTTTAAGTGTACAGTAACGTTAACTATACATACATGGTTGTGGAAACAGATCCCTAGCACTTTCTCATCTTGCGAAACAGACGTTTTTCCCCTTCAGCCCAGTCCTTAGTAACCACTTCTGTTTCTCTGAATTTGACTAATTAGAGTCAGGCAGCGTTTGTCTTTTTGTGACTGGCTTATTTCACTTGGCATAATGTCCTCAACATTATGTGTTCATGCATGTTGTAGTATATGACAGGATTTCTTTCTTTTTAAGGCCGAGTGTATTCGCGTGTGTGTGTGTGTGTGTGTGTGTGTGTGTGTGTGTGTGTACACACACCATATTTTCTTTAGCCATTCATCTGTCACTAGACACTTAGGTTGCTTTTACCTCTTGGCTAATGTGGATAGTGCTACAGTGCACGTGGGTGTGAAATAGCTCTTCGAGAGCCTGTTTTCAGTTCTTTTGGATATATACCAAAAAGTTGGTCTTTCGTCCATTTTTTTAACTGGATTTTTTTCTTATTGTTGAGTATTAAGAGTTCTTTGTATATTTTGGATGCCAGTTCTTTATCATATATGTGTTTTTCATATTTTTTTCCTACTACTCTATGGCTTGTCTTTTCATTCTCTTACCAGTGTCTTTCATGGATTGTACTTTTGGTGTTGTATTTTTTTAGATCACTTACATTTTCTCTTAAGATGTCTTCTAGATGTTATATACATTTGTGTTTTACATTTAAATCTAAGATCCATTTCGAATTAACTTTTGTGAAAAGTGTGAAGTCTTCCAGAACAGAAAGCACCAGGCCTAGATGAGTTCACTGGTGAAGTCTACCAAACATTTAAGGAAGAAATTTCTTACAATCCCTTTCAGAGGATAAAAGCAGAAGCAATACTTCCTAACTTATTCTGTCAGGCCAGCATTACCCTAATACCAAAACCAGACAGGCATTACAAGAAAAGAAAACTACAGACCAATATCTTTCATGAACATAGCTGCAGAAATGTTCAACAAAATATGAGCTAATAAAACCCGAAAAAGTATAAAAAGAATTATACACCACAACCAAGTGGGATTTATTTTATGTATACAAGCCTTGTTCAACATTCAAAAATCAATTAATGTAATTCATCATACAAACAAGCTAAAGAAAAACAATCACATGATCATATTAAGAGATGCAGAAAAACATCTGACAAAATCCAACACCCATTCATGATAAAAATTCTCAGTAAAATAGGAATAGAGGAGAACTTTCTCAACTTGATAAAAACTATCTACAAAAAATCTATAGCTAACATCAGACTTAGTGGTGACAAACATGAAGCTTTCCCACTAAGATGAAGTACAAGGCAAGGGTGTCCCCTCTCGCCACTCCTTTTCAGCATCATACTGGAAGTCTTTGCTAATGCAATAAAGCAAGAAAAGGAAGTAAAAGTATACAGATTGAAAAGGAAGATAAAACTTTGTTTGCAGATGACATGATCATCTATGTAGAAAATCCAAAAGAATCAACAAAAAAACTCCTGGAACTAATAAGCAATTATAGCAGCGTTTCAGGATACAAGGTGAATATACAAAAGTCAACTGCTTTCCTATATACTAACAATGAAGAGGTGGAATTTGAAATTAAAAACACAATCCCATCTACCTTAGCACCCCCTAAAATGAAATGCTTAGGTATAAATCTAACAAAAAATGTTCAAGATATGTAGGAGGAAAACTATAAAACTCATGAATAAAATCAAAGAAGAACTATGTAAATGGAGAGGTATTTCATTTCCATGTTTATGGATAGGAAGATTTAAATATTGTCAAGGTGTCAGTTCTTCCCAAATTGATCTGTAGATTCAATGCAATCCCAATAAAAATTCTAGCAAGTTATTTTGTGGATATTGACAGACTGATTCTAAAGTTTTTATGGAGAGGAAATGACCCAGAATAGCCAACACAGTATGGAAGAAGAATGAAATTAGAAGACTAACACTACTCAACTTCAAGACTTGATATAAAACTACACTAATCAAGACAGTGTAGTTTTGGCAAAATAATAGATAAATAGATCAATGAAACAGAATGAAGAGCTCAGAATTAGATCTTTATAAATATAGCCAACTGATCTTTGGCAAAGGAGCAAAGGTAATACAATGGAGCAAAAATAGCGTCTTCAACAAGTGGTAAAGGAACAATTAGACGTCCACATGCAAAAAAATGAAAATAAAAAAAGAATCTAAACACAGATCTTACACCCTTTACAAAATTAACTCAAAATGGATCATAGACCTAAATGTAAAATGCAAAACTATAAAACTCCTTGGAGATAATGTGGGAGAAAACCTGTATGACCTTGGGTATGGCAATGGCCTTTTTAGATACAATACCAAAGGCATCCATGAAAGAAATAACTGATAAGCTGCACTTTATTAAAATTAAAGATTTCTCCGCTGTGAAAGACAATATGAAGAGAATCAGAAGACATACCACAGACTGGGAAAAATATTCACAAAAGACACATCTGATAAAAGACTATTATCCATAATATACAAAGAACTCTTAAAGCTCAACAATAAAAAAAGAAATAACTCAATGAAAAAATGGGTCAAGGACCTGAACAGGCACTTTACCAAAGAAAATATAGAGATGGCAAATAAGAATATGGAAATACGCTCCACACCATATGTCATCAGAGAAATGCAAATTAAATCAACAGTGAGATACCACTACACACTTATTAGAATAGCCAATATCCGGAGCAATGACAACAGCAAATGCTGGTGAGGATGTAGAGCAACAGGAATTCTCATACATTGCTGGTGAGGATGCAAAATGGTATGGCTACTTTGGGAGACAGTTTGGCATTTTCCTACAAACATACTCTTACCATACAAGCCAGCAATTACACTCCAATGGAGCTGTAAACTTGTGTTCACACAAAAAGCTGCACAAAGTTTTTTATAGCAGCTTTATGCATCATTGTCAAAACATAGAAGCAACCAAGATGTCTTTCAGTAGGAGAACAGATAAATAAACTTCTGGTCCATCCAGACAATGAAATGTTCAAGCCATGAAAATACATGAAGGAACCTTAAATGCATATTACTAAGTGAATGAAACAAATCTGACAAGTCTACATACTGTATAACTTCATCGATATGACATCTTAGAAAAGGCAAAACATTGGCGACAAAAAGATGAGTGGTTGCTGGGGAGGGAGAGGATGAAAAGGCAGGGATTTTTAGGACAGTGAAAATAATCTATGATATTATAATGATGGAAATGTCATCATACATTTATCCAATTGTATAGAATGTATAACACCAAGAGTAACTCTAATCTGTGGACTTTGAATGATTATGATGTATCAATGTAGGTTCATCCTGGTCAAAAATGTACTATTCTGGTGAGTAATGTTGATATCGAGGGTGGCTATGCCTGTGTGTGGGTTTATCATTTCCTAATTGACACTGAATCATTTTTTGGTATGCATAGCCTCTAGGGAGCATAAAAATGCCTTGGCCCACCAGCCGAGGGTTCAGCCCATCACTTTATTGGAAAACAGAATAGTATCTACTGAAAAGACTATAATCTTATTTTGAAATGTACTTTTCCAAACACTGCTGGTAGCTTTTATAATTTTCTTTGTGTCAATAAACATCAATTGCCAACATTTTCCTCTGACTATGCGTTAATTACTTTTGATCTTTGCTCTGTTTGCACTAGGTTGGTTCATTCAGGCTCTGGATGTCGATCACCCTCACTTGGATCTGACCTTACATTTGCTACCAGGACAGGGTCTCGGCAGGGCATTGAGATGCATCTCTTCAGGGTTGAGACACATCGGGATCTGTCCACCTGGACCAGGATGCTCGTTCAGGGCTGCCACACTGCTGCTGAGCTGATCAAGGAAGTCTCTCTAGGTATAGATCCTGGCATTTCATTTCTAATAGTATTAAGTGGAACTGTTATACATACTTTATTTTAAAATAAAAACCGTTATTATGTGTGCCAGGCTTAAAAATGTTTTGAACTATGACAGCTTAAAGTGATGATGATGAGAAGAAACCTGGTTTCTTTGTTTCAGTAGCAAAGTTTTCCTAAATTTTGTACATGTCTCTGAACACATTCATAATCCCTGTGTACAAGATGGCAGTTTTACTGTTCATCATTTTAATCTGTATTTAATAGCATAAGGACTCATTTACTAAGTACTAGATGCACTGATCCTCTAGTTAAGAAGATTTGGAATCTAGGATATGGACAGACACCCTTATAATAAGAATATCTGGCAAAGTTTATGGTTATAGCAAAATAAAGAATTAGGAATAGGAGTTTCTCTTCAAAAGTTTGAAAATGTGTGCCTAAAATACTAAAATCAGCATCTAAAGGAAATAAGCCTATTGGTCTCTTTTCATTCTTGAAGCGCCCTCTTGTGGTTAGTCTATATGAATTTGGAAGTATGGTTTCGTAAGTATATATTTGTATGTATTTGTATGTATTATGTACTATGTATATGTGCAGATATTTCCAGATTGCTTTTAATTTTAGCAAGAACAGAATAGTCAAAATGAAGATAAAATTATGTTTCTAATATGGTTCGAATTACTTTGAATATCTCGTTTATAAGTTGGTTTACTTAATTTTGCTTCTTTTATCTATGATTTTATTATAAACCTAGTTTTAACAGAATTTATATAAAAAGAGAAAATGTTTCAAGAGCAGAATATCTTGTGGTTTATCTTCCTTTAAGTTGCTTTTTGAAAATGAGGGAGCTCTATGGCTTTAGAACTGCATGGGCACCAGGGACAGTTTTTATAATGTCAAAATGACACATTTCCTCATCTATTTAGGACCTGCTTGATATTTTCCTCCAACTACAATGATAATTCAAGCAATGACACCAATGACTAGTAAGAACCCACTATAGATTTGGACCAGAGCCACCACATCCACGTTGTCTTTCTCACTTGTCTGTCTCCTGCCTGTTTTCTCTCTTGAGTGGTTGGTCACCACATTAAGGGCTATGGACTTTGGTTTTTGTCTTTGCCACAGAATGTGCTTTCTGGGATAGGTGAGTCCTCAGGATGAATGTCTGTGATGCTCTGTGTTCCTGTCAGAAGCCCAAGGGTTCAGGGTGATACACTCCTCAGGCCCTTCACTGGCATCTGGGGCCATCCTATCTTCTTTGATGATCCAGAGAGATATGCTTCCCAAAACAAAGTATGCAACTTGGATTTTTAACTTTTTTTTAGTTTTGTGTTATTTCTTTGGTTTCTGGCAACTAAACTTCACATTGCAGGAAATCAGAATCTATCCAGTCGCTGGCTCACAGGTATTTAAATATAGATGGCTTGATGAGAGGGAGAATAAGACCCAGTCGATAACTTCTATTTTTAAATAAACAAAAGAACATATTTTTAGAGAATTTTGAACAATTTTTTTCATTCACACCTGTGCTAATATTTTCATTTCCACAATTCAGGTCAACTGATATGCTGTACCTATTAATCACTTACTCTGTATTTAGAGCTGTGCCAAATATGTTAAACTGGCTGAAGGTAAATTGCTTTGATGAGAGCCAGAGTTTCTTTAAAATTTGTTTGTGTATATGTGTGTGTATACGCATGTGCGCATGCATACATAATCATATGTGCACACACTTAGTCCGTTATGTCTTAATATGTGTATCCTTAGTGTGTACATCCACATATGTATACACATACATAAGAGAGTACATCCTTCAGTTACATGTTACCACCTTCTGTTAAATTGTTGGGAGATTCAGAAAGGTTCATTTAAAACTATAATTGTGGCACATTGTACCTTAAATTCAGATATCATGGCCTAAAGAAAGTCAAGAAGTTGACAAAAAGAAATCACTTAAACTGTTTATTTTTTCTTATGTGTTTTAGTTATAGTTTGTCCATTTAGAAAAATTTCAGTGACTACCTACAAGATTTGACTAATGAATGTAATACATGATTTTCATAAGGTTTAGTTTTAAGCCTTGATTAGATTATAGTTGTAGTAGAATTGATCTGTGATCCTTCTGGTACACCAGGACTTTTTCCTTCTAGCAAATACGGATTTCATGATGACTAAGCAGAGAATGCAGATAACTCCCTCAGGTACATACAATCATTTTCCATTTGTCATAGGAATTGAAAATATGAAAATATATTCTGTGTGTAGTTGAAGATACTTTACATTTCTCTAGCTTTGGTGGTACGAAGACTAAGAAGTAGTAGATATAGGTAGGAGCTGCATTAATAAATATGCAGAAAATCTACAAGAGAAGAAGAAACATGGGCATTTAGAGGTAATTTATATTGTTAGCATATGTGAGGAAAGAGTTTGCTGTAACCGTGTTGTTCTCAATTTCAGAGAAATTCTCTTGAATCCCTTTTTATTCATCTACTCAGCAAATATTGATTGAATGTATTCTTTGTGCTTTAACTGACTATACTAAAGCAAATAAAGTAGGCGTAACCCCTGTCTTTGAAGTAGGAAGGACAGAAATAGAAAGAATAGTAGGTACATATCAGGGTCTTACAAGTCATAAATGAAATAGCTGTTATCTGATCGTAACAGGCAGCCCTCTAAGGCAAGTTTTATTACCTCCATTTTCAAGCTGAAAGAACTGAGGTTAGTGTGGCTGGGACTTGAGCTGGCTCTGACTCCAAAATCAGTGTCTCAGGCCCCTGGATTCCCTTCTCTAAATGACCCATTCTAATGGTCAGATTAAACTTCTGGAAGACATACACATTATTAGTTTCTCTTAATTCATTAAATTGACAAATATTTACTGAGTGTTTTATTATTTACAAAACTCCATGCTTTGTAATAAGGCAAGTTAAAATAAATAAGGCCTACTTTGTGCCTTTGACAAAAAGGCTTTAAGAAAGGAACAGAGTGTCATGTTCTTTGTAACCGAAAATGTATTTAGCCTATTGATTATACTTGATGGACGGGCTTTTCCTATGTGCAGTAACAGAATATTGCCCCAGTCTTTCTCTGAGAGAGTCTTGGGCAGTCAGGCCAGGTGGAACCTGCAAAGCCCACTTCCTCTGGGTTGTTTTGGAGGGCCAGAGGAACCCACAGCACCATCCTGTAGCTGCTAAAGGGTTTTGCTGGAAACATTGGATCCCCACCCGCCGCCCCCCGCCAGAGCCCTCCTACCAGGTAATCAGCCCCAGAGCAGCAGAAACAGGATTCGCAGCATAGAATTTCTTTGACATTTGAGTCCTTGTCCTTCACTCTGCACTGGCAACCATGAACAGTTTCTCATTGAAAAAGACACAAAATACAAAACATAGGTTGCTCTTACCAGTACTCATCTTGGCGTTAACATGAATGGATTTATTATTAGTTAATGAGCCTTTTTTCTCTTAGCTTTAATTTTTCTTTTCTTTTTTTTATTATTATGGGACTGCATAGAAAGTTATCTTTACTGTATGCCATTACACTCAACAATATCCTTGTGCTTGGAAAAAGCCAATGTCCCTTCCACTTAGCAGATTGTTAAGTAGTATCCAGAGCAGAAGGAAACCAGGGTAGGTGGGAACAATAAGTGTCAGGAAAGCTAAAGGAAGAGTATTTCAAGTAAAGGAGTGGTCAGCAGGGTTAAATGTATGGATTGGGATGATTTAGTTTGAAATTAACAAAAAATGCCCTCTAAAACTAAAACTAAACACTAAAGAAATACATTCTCTTACATAAAAGAAAGAGATCAAGAGTAAAAGGGGTGTGAGGTGGTGTTTTCTCTTCCCAGTCGCAGTTCTTTTCAATCTGAGCCAGTTTGGTTCATATGCACACCCTGGACCCCTGCCAGTCACCAGGGGAAAGCCAGGCTGACCGGCCCAGAAGCTATCTACCCTTGCAGCTGAGGTCACTCCTCCCTGAAACACATTAGGAGAAAGGAGAAACCTGAGTAAAATTGGAGTTTGGCTGTAAAGGAAGAATGGAGAAATAGAAGCTGGGTGGACAGCCAGCAATGAGCACTGCAAGTATCAAGTAATGTGAGGGAGGAAGAAGAGGGTCGGATTTAGCATCCTGGAGATAATTGGTGCCCTTGGGGTGAGACGCTTGGTGTGATGGCAGATTGCAGACTACTAAGGATTGAATGAGAGGTGAAACATGGATAAACTGAGTATAGACATCTCTTTCAAGAAGTTTTGCTGTGAAGGAGAGGAAGGTGAAGAGTTGAGTAGTGGCATTTCTTTTAATAATGAGAGAGACTCGAAAATTTTAAAAAGTTAATGGGCGGGCTCTGGTTTAGAGGGAGATGTTGAAAATGGCAAGATGAAGAAAGAACCATCAGTCTTGTCCAGTGTCTGAGAAGGTAGGAGTGGATGGGATCCAAAGCAGAGTTGGAGAGATTGGCCTTATTAGTCTGGAAAAGGGACAGATGGGATGGGGAGAGGATGGCTGGAGCTGTATGTTCACACATCTAAGCTGGTGAAGTGGGCGCCTTAACTGTTTTTATCTACTATTTAGGGAGAAATCGTTTAAAACTATTAGGGACAAAATTTTTATGGCCAGTTTATAATCTCATTCAAACTTATCTGGTATTAATTAAAAGTTTTAAACTAAAACAAACTCAATTTTAAACCTAGACACATCACTATGACCTTTACTCCTCTTCAGGGTTGAGGTAATCATAAACAATATTCTGTATTTTTAAGTCACACACCAGACACTGACACTTGCTTTCCTTTCCTTCCTTCCTGAGGGGAAGAAATACTAAACAGAACATTTAAGAAATCTTTTACATAACAAGCTTGTTGAAGGGTTAATGGCTTGCCTTTGCTAGCTGTGATTGTGGGATATCGCCCCACTGGTGACATACTTGCAGGCACCTTCTCCATGTAATGCTGCAGGGACTTTGGCGGATCCTTGTTCTTGGAGCTTCTCTTTTCTAGACTAGACCTGACCCCTCTCTTCTCATCAAACCTTAACACCACCCTTCACTATACTATAGCTTCAAGGACGTTAACGGAATAAAATCCTCTTGAAAACTGTACCCTGGTTGCCTTGATTGGGATCTCTCTGTTCTTTCTCCAAACCCCTCAGCCACTCACTTAGAGAGTATTGCATTGGATCACTTCTACGGGTAGTTAATTTTATCCTTGTTTTCTCCCAAGGTTCCTTTTCTGAGGGTAACTAATATTTCAAAGTCCATTGTCCAAAACTCTTCTTTGCATAGTGCTGAGAAGGGACACTGCTGATATTTATCTGTTTTTCTTTTTCCTTGTCTCCTAAACATACCAGCTGCTTTGACTGATTGAATGTTTTTGCATGTCCAGTGAAAGAATTGGTCTGAGTATGAGGACTTGCTTTTTGGGAGCCATTTTTTCTGTTTAAAGTGACCAAGCTTGACTCTGATCTTTTAGGTGATTTTAAGTTCACCTCTCAGAGGGCTGTATTAGTTCCCAGGTCTCGGAGGGCCTGTCACTTATAACCCCTGTAGTAAAAACAGAACTGTGCTCAAATGTCAGTGAAACAGGGATGTCAGCAGTGATAGAGGACATTGGCTAGTCTTGATCAAAGTGTTTTTTGTCCTGTCAATTCAGATGTATCCTTTGAATTTTATCTTGATAGGACTGACAGTATGATTTTGCTAACTATAACTTTTATCTTTGATAAACACTATCTTTATCCTCTTCCCAAATACCATCCCCTGAAAGGCATCTCTGCCTTCTCCTTTGGTCATTCCTTTTTCTTGCCCACTTGAAACCTTCTCTCTATTCCTCACTGCCCATCCAGTTTGATCGATTCTTTAGAGCCTATCTGAAATCCCATCTCTTCCAGGAGATCTTTCTTGACTTTGGCCATATTTAGTTTGGTGTTTAGTTATATTCTATACATTCTATCTTAACACAGTTAGGGATTTCATGTTTATGCCTATTCATTCATGAGGTCCTTGAGAGCAGAGACTGTGCCTCTTACCTCTCCAATATCACACACAGGCTACTGCCAGCACAAGTGTTCAGTTGATACTCACTGAATTGAATTGAATCAGATCAGATGTCAGGAAGAGTTATGGTAATTTCTTCCTTATCTCAATCAAGATGTTGACTTGAGTGACCAGAACAAAACTCACTTTAGGAGGTTCCAAATAGGTTAGGTCTCACACATCCTCAAGAAAAGATTGTTTCCTTTTTTGAAGTCAGAAGAATCCCCTTCCACTTGATAACTGAAGTAGGAACTTTATTAATGTTTTTGCTTGTCTTCAACAGGCTGCACGTTAAATGGCCAAGAGGTAAGACTCACTATCCACTATGAAAATGGGTTCACTATCTCCAGGGAAAATGGAGGTCCCAGCAGCATATTATACCGCTACCCCTTTGAAAGGCTGAAAATGTCTGCGGATGATGGCATCAGAAATCTGTATCTGGATTTTGGTGGTCCTGAGGGAGAACTGGTAAGAGAGTTTCTGAGAAACATGTTTATTCTAATAGGTATTCTCTTTCTTTCTTATCACTTCTTACGTCTTGTATGGAAAATTATGGACTGATATTCCATTTTTGGCAGGTAACTGTTCTTCAGGTTTCAAGGTGCATTGGGTTTTTTTTTCCTTTTCCCCACGTTAGGAGATTATTCCTTTTTAAAAAAGTTTCATTTGAATCTTAGAAAAAATAGAAAGCCCTTTTAAGAAATAGGCTTTTATAAAAAATAAGATATTAAATACTAAATAAATTCCATCCCTTGCTATTATCAGCGGTTTATTGGGATAAGAATTAAAAGTAATAGACTTGGTTGCTACAGAAATTCTACTAATCAGAAAAAAGATGCAGCAATATGTCCAGATAGCTATCATCTTTTTTTTTTTTCTTTTCCCCACGGTTTATTGGGATAAGAATTAAAAGTAATAGACTTGGTTGCTACAGAAATTCTACTAATCAGAAAAAAGATGCAGCAATATGTCCAGATAGCTATCATCTTTTTTTTTTTTTTCTTTTTTTAGGTGAGGCAACCCTTGGTTGACCTCACAGATTGCAAGGACCTTGTCAGCTTACAATCCTTTATTTTTTAATATTTTTACACCTACAGCACCTAGTCTCCCTAGGTGGTCTCCTATCCAAGTACTAACCAGGCCCAACCCTGCTTAGCTTCCAAGATCAGACGGGATTGGGCTTGTTCAGGGTGGCGAAGCTGTAGACAAGCTATCATCTTTTTTGACCTCCTTGTCCTTTAAAGGAACTATCAACAGGAATTCATGATTCCTCTTACAGAACTAGAGATTTGGAGAGTATACTTCAGAAATCATAAATTATAATCATAAAGGAGTAAAACAATGCCTTTGTCTCTTATCAGTATTGAGCCAGTAGTTCAAGTCTTACTATATGTGAAATCTTATGTCTGTTGACACAGTCACAAGAGGAATAAATTTGGAAAACAGAATCTTGAAAATTTAGAACTGAAAGAGATCTTAGAGATAATGTAGTTCAACCTTCAAATGAGAAAACTGTGGCTAAAAATCTTATTTTAAATGATGTACCTTTAGGAGACTATGGAGAGGCCATGGACCAGGGCTTTCAAAAGCCTGACACATTAGAGTTAAATGCTTATGTCTGTTAAATTAACTTCTATTAATAGCAGTTGCCATTTAGCAAGTAAGGTGTTAGAGTATTATTGGCTATTTATATATTTTTAATCCATGCTTTGTATTTAATATGTATAAAGTTTAGGGATTTATTCAGTGCTCTATAATTTATATTTTTCATAAAGTTGTATCTGTTGCCAGCTGTCCAGATTAGAGGCCTGTGCTTAGGAAGGCATAACTAGCCCTCCTAAGTAGCCTCAATAGTTGTTATTCCCACCACAAACCTCTAAGGGGTGTCAAAAATCATACCCACACATGGTCACTCTTCAGCTGAGTTTACTGTGGTTCCCATCAGAAATATAATCACAACTAATGGTCTCCATATAGGATATTCCTTTTGTTTACATCCTCTACTTTCTCGTACTTCCTACCAGGCATGGTAGAACCCAGTATAGCACTAGTTGTATCCTAATTGTGAATGTGAAACTTCACACTAGTGTTTAATTATGACATGGAATAACTTAACTTCAGAGTTCTTTCATTTGTGGCTTTAAGTTCCCAAGAGTTTCTAAGCTCTGTCACATTCTTTATCCAAGTTCTTTTTAAGAAATAGAACATCACGTCTAAACCTATTTATTTTGCATGTTTGTTTATTAAAGCATCTGTATATGGCGGTGATATTTAATGTGCTTTCTCTACAGACCATGGACCTGCACTCTTGTCCGAAGCCGATTGTGTTTGTGTTGCACACGTTCTTGTCGGCCAAAGTCACTCGCATGGGACTGCTTGTATGAGCGGCAAAAAAATCAGAAAAGAGCCTCGAATGTCACAAGAAGTATTTCCACCTCAAAAAAAAAAAAAAAGCACAAAAAGAAAGCTCTTTGCTCTCTCCTCCAGCACAGTGCCTTCACAAGGACCTGCAAATCACCGCTGACTAAACATTTTTAAAGAGCCTGCCTTTCACAAGCTACCTTGGCTAGAAATTCTAGGACTCTAATAAGCTCCAAAATGAAGCTGTTGATTTATTGTCTAGTTTCCCAATGTGATTTCTAAGTAATTCAGCTTATTTCCTTTGTTAAGAAGGGTGGCTCATTGTTTTTCTTTTTGGACATAGTCAAATATCCAAGTTGTTTTCTTTTTCTTCTTCCTATAGGATTTATTTCAGACTTAGCCTTCGTTCCTCACTTAGAATGACTATCTCTTCCCAGGTGCTAGTTTGCAGCAGCCCGTGCTTCTTGGTCATTCCTGAGAAGTTGTACATTTTGTTGGTGTTTACCGTCTGTCTTCACTTGCTCCTTCCATCCTAGGAAATCCTTGAGGTGCATCACCAAAGCGTTCTCCCATCCGCCCCAGCTCTCGCTGCATCCCACCCTGGCCATCACTTCCCGCAGTATCACAAGCTTTGCACTCCTAAGTGATAACATTAGGTCTTAGAACTTGCAAAATTTGATTTGCCTTGCCTTCTACTCCCTTTCAAGTGGTGACCAAGTTGAAAAGCAAATTGGAAACCACTGCTTTGACAGAAAAGTTTTGCTTATTTTAGGGTTTTCTGATTTTATCTTTGGTAGGAGCCAGGGGATAAGATTTATTTTAAAAGAAAATCCTCATTTTAGCCTAAGCCATTGTTTATTGCTTACCAAATGTGCCTTTGGTTAGGGTTAGTGGAGCTTTATTAGTCACTCTTTGAATAACTGGATATCACTGCCGTTCCAAGGAGATCATTCTATCCTAGATCCCACTAGGATAGTCTTTGAGGCGGGTTTCCTTAGTGGTATCTTTTCTAGTGGGCAGATATCTTTGAGGAAGATCAATTCTGGAGAGCAAGCATATTTAAAGAGTAGAATTTGTGGGTGAAGACAGCTTTGCAGCACAAACAACATGTCAAGCTGCTTTGGGCTCTGTGCACCCATGTAGGATCCTGGCTCTGGCCCTTTATGGCAGCAGAGTGGCACGAACAAGCAGGTGCTAGTTCAAGACTCAGCCTTGGCTTAGCAATGCATCTTATAGTGGGCAGGGTGACAAGACCATGGAACGGCTTCCTGGGTTTTGCCAAGCATTGCCAGATGTCATTAAGACATAGTAACAGTAAGTTTGCTGATTTTGTGGTACTGAAGAACACATTCAGCTTGTTATTTCTAATCATGAAGGAGATACATACCTGAAAACATTTAAAATAGTATAATAGCTATATAAAATGTCAAGATTAGCAGAGTCCCAGGAACTGAAAGAAAAGGTAATGACTTGGATGTTTTTTATGCTCTCTGAAGAAAGGTCTAGGAATAGTTCTCACTTCCTAGATTTATCAGGAATGC